GCTCCACTGCACACGCACACGAATTAAAGCGCCCGTGGCATCATGCGTACTCTGTGCGTAATTCAGATCCTACATCCGCGTCATTCACCTCACAAATCCGCCGATCGTTCTCTTGTTATGCTCCGCGCCCCTGGCGTTCCGGTCCATGCCTCCCCCCATGTGAGTTTCGTCCTCTGCTGCTCGAGGCTGCAGGCTCCTACCCATGACACGACTGTAAAGCCGGCATGCACTCAGGGCGCTGCCATGCGTGACTCTCCGACGCTGCTGTCGCTCGCGCGCCTCGGTCGGCTGCCGATCAGTGGCTCGAGGTCCGACCATGGGGCCCGTCAGGTCCGGCCCTGACCGTCAGGGGCACAGCGGCCAGGGCCGGCCCCCGCACTGTCCAACCGTCCGGCCGGCGGCGGCGCGCGGGCATTCCTGGCAGCGTGGCGGCGTTCCGGCGCCGCCGGCAGGGTCGTGAGAGCCGGGAACAGGTTCTGACGCCGCGTGCAGCGCTGCACCGCACCGCGCCGGAGCCGGCCAGTCGTACCGGCCGCCGCGTCCGGCCCGGCGGGTGGTGAGCGCTGTGTGGGGAGCGCAGAGACGGGTGGAGCGAGATGTGCGTGAAATGGAGCTGTGGGGACGGAGTGGGGACGTGCGTGATGTGCTGAGGTGTGCTCGATGAGAGGAGCTGAGAGATGCGTTGGGGATGGTGACAGGTAAGCTGTGAAAGACCGCCTGAAGGTCTCGACTTCCAACATCCCTTTCTCAGTAGAATGTCATCACCTCTTTCATGCAGAAGTGATGATGCTAGAAGCACTGCTCTGCCGGTCAACTCCACGCCGGTCAACTCCACTGCAGTGCTGACTGTTCGCCGTCACCTCACCGATGAGTCACCTATCGCGGCGCCCACTGAGCGTGCTCACGTGCTCTCGCCACTGCACACCCACGGCCCGGCCCGGGTCACGAGGTCACCTCTCGTCGGTCGGCGTGGCTCGTAAATGACCTCCTGGGTCTGATCGGGCGTCATATCGCCACCCCAGCCGTCAGTTTCTCCATTGTACGTTGTTCGATCGTAGCTCAGTGGCACGGTCAGATCGGGTCCGGGTAGTCACGCCCGGTGTGTTTCTCCGGCCGGACGGTACCCTGCGGCGTTTTTCCACGTGGGATGTCTTCTGTGCTGACCCCGGATTGCGATAAGTCGACCACGATGGGCTTTGTTTGAGCCGATCAACGTGCCGGCTCCTGGCAGGAGGTGGACCTGGACTTTCGTTTCTCATACTGGGCTTTTCTCATACGGCGGCGGCGGCTGCGCGAAGGGAGCGCCATGATTGTATCACCGCGATGGCTGGTTAGCGTCGGGTCACGTCACGCGGCGGCCGTCACGCTTTTTGTGCGCCGTGATGGACGATGGAGCGTGACTCGTGACGTGAGAACCGCAGACGGCTCTCTGCGCGCGTATAATGATCACCGGTCCGCCCCGATCGCCGTCCCTGTTCATTAGAGGTGCGGGCACGACGGCGGTGTGAGCGCTGCGCGTGAGGGCGCGCGGTTGGCCGTGGGACGTTCACCTGTGGTCAGTACGGCCAATGGGACAGGTGTGCGAAGTTCACGGCAGGTAGACAAAGTACTTTGGAAGCTTTGTGTTGTGTTGGTTTTGTACCAAAGACGTTTATAGCGGGATTGATATTGTGAGACTGTGATATGGTCTTGGACAAGGAACAGTGCACTTTCTGCAGGTAGGCATTGTTTCTTATTGGATTAGTCGGCAACCACTATGAACGTCAAACCCCTTGAGACCCCACTTTTTTGCGATAATTTTTAAATGCGTCAACTTTCGTTGACAATATTCTGGCAATGTATGTTTCAGAACCTGCCGAAACTTTTATTACTAAGGTATTTTGACGCCAAACGATTATGGAAGGTACTTCTCATTCACTCGTAATGTTAAGGTCAATTCAGGCCCGGGCAGAGGCTTGCGCTCGGCCACACTCGAGCCCCGCCACCAGCGCCATCTGCTCTAAATGCCATCTACCAGCGCCCGCTACCGCTACCAGCTACCGCCCACCATCAAGCCTGAATGGAGCGAGAGACGCGAGTGACCGGTCGCCGGGTAAGGAGCGCCGGAGGGGTAGGGCGGAGCTTAGCGCTGACGTCATTACGTGGCTCCGCCCCATGAACGCGTAGCCTCTACCCAAACAGCAGATTCGTTCCGTGAAATTTAACATTACGAGTGAATGAGAAGTACCTTTAATAATCGTTTGGCGTCAAAATACCTTAGTAATAAAAGTTTCGGCAGGTTCTGAAACACACATTGCCAGAATATTGTTAACGAGAGTTGACGCATTTAAAAATTATCGCAAAAAAGTGGGGTCTCAAGGGGTTTGACGTCCATAGTAGTGAAAGTGCAGTGCTGAACACGCCTTTGTTTTTCCGTTCCCGTGCTGCCAATCTCACCACAATGTCGCAGGCATTGGTCATTCCGCAATCGGAGCTGCATGGGCGGCATGTATGAACTGTGCAGTGCGCAGCCCTTGTCCTGACGCACTGCACAAACAGTCGACGACGGACTGAGCCGTATCGCCCTATCGCCCTGCGCTGTCTGTAGATAAGTTCATCCGGGCCTGGCGATGATCTCATTGTTATTAATATTCGTCATTGAAACAAACACGAACGTCCAATGCGCTTATCTCTGGTCTAAGCTCACCTATTTTTTTAACTCATTTGGACTTAATCTTACCGATAAGAAGTTTTAGGCTTTCAGAACAAAAGCAGGGAAGAAGAAGGTTATCTTGGAAATTATATGAATGCGATAACCGTTCCCCCGATTCAATTCCTCACAAGTTTCCGGCATGTCTAAGCATCAGAGTGGATGGCAGTCATCATAATTCTTACCTTATCCTGATATAAAAATGGTTCTTATCTGACAAAATGCGCTATTGAAGGACCATAACATGTTTACGCCATATCTTTATTAGCTGCTTCAAACATTCAAACCACGTTTTCCGAGTGAAATCAAATCGTTCGGCTGTTTTGCCACGATTTTATTGCCTTTACCTGCCCCATTCGAAGCAGCGGTTTCAGGGTTGAGGTTCCTTGGTTGGACGTGAACCCTCGGTCCGACATCCGACTGCTGACTCGCCGCAGCGCTGATAACGTGTCTGCCCCAGTCTCGGTGCCATTACCACTATCTTATCGGGGTGGAGTGGCCGAGTGACGACATGCGGTGACGAATGCGGCGCTGTGGCGACGGCGGCGCGGCGCGGCGTGGCCTGACTTGGCTTGGCGTGGCGTGGCTTGGTGTCCTGACGACTGCGATGGCTTGTCTTTGCCTTTTCTCTTGAATTTCAAATTGGCAAGGGTCGTGTTTCCACTTTCATAAGGTTTATCAGCTACAGTGAATTTCTCCAGAACTCTAGGCGACGATTGAATGAGAGACCTTATTTTTAATCCATCAGACTTTGGTCAGACTCAGCTGCCAGACTTTGGTCCGGCTCAGACTTTGATCCTGTCATTCAAAACACTGCCTCGTGAGCACATCGCTGCGTTTGGTTTGGATGTGATTGTATTCCCTCAGTGTGTCAGCCGATTATTACGTTCGTGGAGATGAGATGATGTGAGGGCTTAGAATAGGAGATGGGTTACCTCCTCGGGCAATCCATCCTCCGCACTTTCTTCGCGGAGAAAACCAACCCCACCTCACGCACACCATCGCTATAATCATATCCACGACGTTTTGTCAACCATCTCGGCCAATTTTGTCTGGCTAGCCGCCGGACCTCTATTCGCGTGTGATGACCCCTGGACTAAAGTCGGTATCGCGTCTCGCGATGGCCTGGCGCCCTCTGACAACGTGCTGATGATGTCACCTCGTGGGTGAGGCGCTATCGCATCCGTCCCACCTGATAATTGTTCCACGCCGTGACAACAACAATTTGGGGAGTGCCTGAGGCGACACAGGGACCCGGGTCATTTTCACCGACACTTAGCCGGTCAGGAGTCTAATGAAGCTGATGATTGGTGTGTGGTGACACAGGAAGCTCGCGCGGGAGGTTGTACGCGGACAGAGTGCGTGCGGCTGTGGAGTGAGGCGTTTTTGTGGGTGACTCGTGACTTCTGAAATCACTCGCTGAAGACTGTCTGTGGCGACGTGGCGTGCCAGTGGTTGTGCTAATGCATGCAGATTACTGCCACTGTCATTAACTGAAAATCATTCCCTTCCGAGAGCCGTTCAATTAAGGGCTGCTTTTACCATTCAAAGTAGCCAGTTTCGTGTGTGTCTTCATACTATTTAACTTAGAAGAGAGATTTGAAGACCTTAAAGGGACCCTCCCACCTTCAAAAAAGTTAATGAATTGGCATAAAAGTGATGTCCCTTGGTTCAGAAAGAGCGGAAACGAATATCTACCAAATTTCACCGAAAAATATTCACTGGTTTTCAAGATATTAGGCTTTTACTTTTGTTTACTTTTTGGGATCTCCCCTGTTACTAGCGACTTTATTTGGAAGCAATAGTTTGGCAGCCTTAAAATGCGGCAGACGTTGCGCGCAAAGCAGCGTATACCACCACGTGTTAACGATGGTTTTAGTCTAAGATTTAAAAATAGTTAGATCTCCGCTGACGTCACAAATTCTAAGGGGGCATTCCAATGCATTAGCCCCTTAGAATCCGAAAACTGCAAGTTTGAAATTCCATATCTTCGAATTAAAGCATTTTTCGATGTTGTGAGTGCCCAAACCGGTATTTGCAGGCCATGGCCACCAATTTGGCTATCTCAACTCAAAACTAATGTTAAGGTGGGAGGGTCCCTTTAAGTACCCAAACTGAAGTGTCATTCACTTACCTAATGTTTTTCAGTAATTGGCATTTCCAAATTCCTGGCGCATACAAATGCCTAAATTTCCATCGGATATCTGGATAAGTTTTCTTTTGTATCACTGCTGTATAATGTCAAGATAGGTGGCTCTCACACCGACACCCCTGACCTCCACTGACACGTTTATGTCCCTCTTTTCGGCAGGTGCGTCTGGGGCAACTGCAGTCCTCCCCCGTGGCCCCTGAGCCTCACCTCCGACTACCACAGTGACGGCCGCGAGACACCGGCCACCGGCCGCTCCGCCACCCTCCCTCCTCCGGCCGACGCCAGCCTCAGTTCCGCCTACTCGTGGGACGTCCAGCCGAGCCCGCGCTCCCTGCCCTCCTCGCCACCGCAGGAGAGGGACCAGGAGAGTCCCGCGGCGCGCTCCGACGGCTCTTCCTCCTCGTCTGCCTGGAGCAGTGTTCACGAGAGTGACTGCGAGTGCTCGCTGCAGCTGAGTGCGCTCGCAGTGGGAAGTGTCGGTCAGGGTGCGAGGCGCAGGTCGGTGCCGGAGCGCGTCTGCCGCCGGCGCAGGACACACGCGCGGCGCGAGACGCGGTGGCCACGGTGCGATACGAGTAGATACGACGGGTACCGATCCTCCGACGAAGATATGGACGCCGAACGAGGTGAGTTGGGATGGTGGGATGAGGTGCGGGCTGGACGGAGGAGGAAGTGTCAAAAGCAATGTTGGAGGGTTGAGCGATGGCTGGCTGGACTACCGAACAGCAACTTAGAGCGTGTTTATCCCATTAAGGCACTAATTGCCCGTCGGATCCAGCTGCCTTATGCTAGCCATATCGGAATTTCGTCACCCTCATATGCATGCGTGCTGTAAGAGTGTGTACGTACGCCCCTGCCCTGCCATCGATTCATCACCCTACAGCTCCCCACTGCCGGCTGTCGGCGGACATCCCCGCACGCTGGTCAGAATTAGCACCCATTTGTCGGTGATGCGTCATCGTGCGTCATCCGACGGACGGATGACGCCAGGAGGGGTTGGTGAGGGAGAACAGTGGCGTGGTCCGACACACCCGCGGGTTGACAGCAAAGGTCAGCCAGCACGGATAGTGATTAGAACAGGCCACGGAATTCACTGCTGTTTTGGTGGCACAAAGAATCGTGATGCATGGGTGACGTGTAAGCATGATAAGATTCATGGCTATATAAAGCCAATCAAACGACTTTTGACTATCTACTTCGTTTTTTATGTCTATTAAACGTTGTCACCTACTCTTTTCACCCATGCTCTATTTTAATCCGTTCACGGACCTGGGACCCTCGGCCTTTCTTATCAACACACCCCGGGGTCGTTGCTCGCTACTGCAGATGGCCTCGATAACTCTCCGGGGTGTGAAGACGGGCTGGGCGCGGTGGAAGGAGAGGGAGAGGTGTGCAAGGGGCATGCTGGTTGTTGATCTTGGTCGCTGGAGCGGAATATAATAAGATAGTGGAAGGCTGAGCGGAGAGACGTATGTTGGATGGTTCTTTTTGCCACCAATTGAGGTTTTCAAGGAATTTCAGACGACTGTAGGAAGTCCGAACTTTCTCCATGTAAGACAACCCACGCTGCTGCTTTGTGTCTGAATTTATCAACCCTTCAACTGTCATAAACTCTTCACGACTTTCATCCTGTGTTGTCGCACAAGCCCGAGGTGTCATTCACCGCGGCTTGTTCATGAATAATTCAGCCCTCCTTTATGAACTGGTCCCAGCCGTTACCCTCCCCTCGGCTGAGTCTGATTGCCGGATAGTCGCCGTGCTGTGTCGCGATGGTCCGCCGACTGTTGAAGGGCGATGTCCGTGGACATTCGGCTCGACGGACGTCGCTTGTCGCCCCGAATCTGTCCGGGTCGTTCCAGATCTGTCAGTCCGTCTGTCCACCGGCACAACGCGGCGGGGGCCCTGGATAGGTGACCCATTCACCGGTGTCAACACCCCGGCACCTCGCGGGTGTGAATGGGTTCATCCGGTGTTGCGTTAGTTGGGGTTTGTTGTGTGACATAAGTGGGACACGGAGCGAGAATAGTGTGGTGCATTCATGGCACTCATGACGTAAATGATGCCACTTTAGTATTCAGACGGCTCTCATTGTAAATTTGCACCTGTGCTGCGGGTGTGTTGCTCCAAACGAGCGTTCATGTCTGAGTTATTTTCTCTTTATGGGGTCAGTTCTATCCCATGTGTACTGAATATTATAATATCCAGGCCCGATATCATGTCGGAACAGTCTATTAAGGTTGTCGCAACAGACTCTCACATTCCTACCACTGGAATTTGTTCCCTCTCGCCTGTCTGCGCGTTCCTGATTAGTTTATCGGTCTGTCCGAGCGGGCAGTGCCGCCGTGTCTTCTCGATACGCCTGCGATCGTATCATCCTCTGACAAGGTCCCGCCTCTTCGTGCCGTTTATCTCACTCGTGTTCGGTAATGTGGCTCTGACGCCTGAGCTGGCTCCTCGACCTATGGCTACGCACGAGAGCGAGATATCAGAGGTTTCCCATGGGCGCTTCTGTCCGTCCGTCCGATGGCGGTCTAAAAAGGGCCACTGCGGGTGATGTAGAATGGTTCGGGGAAGGAAGCATCGCCGGGTATCTGTGGTTTTGGGCCCTGTCGGATCGCGGCTCTTTTCGTTGAGTGAAAAGTTAATTTGACATGCTAATGACTGGTCGATCTAGCGGGGATGAGGAGAGAATCTTCGTCTTTTGACCTATATCTATGGGTAAAATGGAGAGGGGCGGTCGGGCCTGAATGCGAACGACGACCGCACTGACGTCGTGAGGGTCGAAGGTTTCTTCAAAAGTCCGCAAAACCGAACGAGACCGTCTTTCGTCAAAAAGCGGAGGGCACCCTCATCAGTAGGCATACCGGTTGTTTTGAAAGCGTCACTGAGTGGGCCCTGCGACTCTGAGGCCGCAATTATATGTCGACAGACCGAGCGGTGAACTAAGCGGCGGTCTTCTGTGAGCAGCGTTCTCATGGATCCACGTTGAAAAGCTATTTGGCCGCTTCTTCGGCGACGATAAAAGGTGATAGTGCGTGGAAATTATTCGGCAGCGCAGGCAGCAAACTTTGTGCCAAGTCCGTACTTGTCACCAGCCAGGAAGCATAGCTGGCTTTGTAAAGCGCTTTGGCAATATTTTGGCCGCGTTTGGCAGCATTTCAAGCCCTCAATCTGTTGCGTTATCAGCGCAGTGACGGTGGTGATGTCGATGTCGATTGTCGATGGTGCTTTTGATTTGATTTGTCACAGTCAGCTACTGTGGACCGCACGCACAAATGAAAACGTCCGGGCCGGAGTTTGTTCCACTTTCCTGCTCAAAAGCGGCGGTGTTCGGCGCCCGCTCTCCGCTACTGCGTGCGGAGTTTGGTAGCGACAGAGGCGGAAATGCGTGCCTGCCATGAGTTTGCAAGTTTGTCGGCCTGCTGGCAATTGTGGAGGGTGCTACTTTATTTGCCAGTTGGTCTAGTTTGGATTCAGTTTGTATCTCCTCGCTCCGGTTTTCAGATTGTGCTGGTCGGTACGATCATAGCGATTTATAGGCTAGTTTTATTGATATTAAACAATTTCAATATGGTAACAGGTGGAAAATTGGGCGAAAATTCAATGCTGCTTGCAGCTTGATGCTTTTTTATTCGCTCTTTAATGCTACGACTCACTGGGTAAATTTCGTGCGTGACATTCCATGAACACCCAGGACCAACGACGATTGGGTCTCCGTCGTCATCCCTGCTGGATCGGATCTCTGGTCCGGGAGAGCGCCCCACATGTAACGGACCGGCCGATCGCCACCTGCGGGAGGTGGCGGCTCGCATCAAACCGCGTCCGAGCCTCAGGAAGCCGGCAGCTGGCAGGTGTCGACCGCCGCCGCCGACGCCGACAACGACGTTATGTTCGGTGGATGTGCGTGGGTCATGGTGGCTACGGGCTGGATGTACTCGTAGTATCCATCATCAGATTTTCCCGGTAGGGGCCAGGCAGATGACCGACGTTTGTTCACATTTGTCCTACTCCACCCATGCTGCTGTCCCATCATCGTCGGCTCTATCCGTCGGGTTCCCCTGTCCTCACTATCCCACTTTGTCTAGTTCGGCTGTCCGACTGTCCAGTTCTGCTATCCGGCTGTCTCGCTGTCCATTCCTGCTGTCCGGCCGTGCCGCCGTCCGCCCATGCTGCGGCCGCCCGCGCCAGAGGTGTGAATGGTGGGTGGACGTGCACGGCCTCGGCTGCCAGGGCCGACACCGGGACCATTGTCCACCGTGGACAGACAGTGGTCCGCTGCGGACAGACCGGCGGTCTGCGGTGACGGGGACCGCACGCTGGCGGGGACCGTTGTCGGTCCTGGATGATGGCTCGTGCTGTCACTGACGCTAAGTGACAAAACGCGCTAAGTGTCAGGGGAGTGAAAAGGGAGGCAGCTTTTGGAAATGTTATGGAGCTTGACTGGTAGGCGTTGTTTTTTTTTGCCCGTATTTCTAAAGGGTTCATGTTCCTGCGATTTCGGAAGATGAGGGGTTGTTGTATTCTGTGCCACTGCGGTATCTCTTGTCCGTATGAACAATGCTTATCTTAAAACATTGTTTTGTCTTTAAGGTTAGCTTTGTAGGCATGTCCGCCAAGACCACCGAGATGTCAGGATAAATAGAAGCCATGCGCTGTTTTCATTTGAGGGTACACTGAGCCGTTCCGATACCAATCCAGACAGGATCTCATCCACTGTGCCGTTAGATCTTATTGTTTCCTGTGTGGCGGCGCCTCTTACGAGCGTTCCGGCTGGATTCCTCCTGAAGCTTTGTCTGGTCAACAGATGGTGTGATGACCAGCTTAACGCAGTTTCGGACGAAGTTGTTCGATAGCTCTCCAGACTGGATCGTGTCGTATCGAGTACGGATACGTCAGCCATTTAACGGTGTAGTCAAACGTAAACCACTATGGGACGTCAGCTACTCGTGGGAAGCTCTAATTGCAGTTGCGTTTGTGTATAAATTGCTAGCTTTGATCTAGGAGGAGCTTGAGCAGGCCTTTATTACATAAATGGCCATATATTTTCATTATTTGTCAGCATCGCTCCGGTGCAAACTTACAGCTACCAAGTCTGAGCTCCACACGGCATAACGGACCCATCACTTCTAAACTTTGCCCTAGTTTTCCTCAGCCTACGAAGTTTGCATCTGCTGGCTGAATTCATATAGCCTGACTGACCTTTCAAGCTCAGCATTCCATTACCTGGAGGTCGGGCTGCGTCACGCTATTTCCAGAAGCTGTGCACTGAAAGACACAGCGTTAGCAATGGCGGCAGTAGCAACGGCTGCAGTGGTGGCCGGCCGCAGCTGCACGCGACGGGCCGCAGCGGATCTGATTCAGCGGCGCTGCATATTTAGTGGCTCTGTCGTAGGAGCGGGACGCTGCCGGTATCAGTGAAGGGATGTCGTCACCACTGGGCCGTCGTGACCAGTCGCCTGACCAGTGAATGTATCCGCAGCTCTCTGGAACCGAGAGCGGGAGAATGTGAAGAGGCTTGTGTCCTCGTTTTGACTCCTACAGTTTAATACTGTTACATTGACAGAGTTTGAGTGAGAGGGAGCCGTTAGTAGCGTTACCAAGTGCACTCGCTTAGAGTAAGATGTTT